ATTTGTGATAAGGACACCCCCACCTTCTATTGCCCCATTAATTTGTGATTATGACACCCCAACCTTCTATTGCCCCAGTAATTTGTGATTATGACACCCCACCTTCTATTCCCCTGTAATTTGTGTTTAGGGCACCCCACCTTCTATTGCCCCGGTAATTTGTGATTATGACACCCCCACCTTCTATTGCCACATTAATTTGTGATTATGACACCCCAGCTTCTTTTGCCCCAGTAATTTGTGATTATGACACCCCCACCTTCTATTGCCCCAGTAATTTGTGATTAGGACACCCCACCTTCTATTACCCAGTAATTTGTGATTATGACACCCCAACTTCTATTGCCCCAGTAATTTGTGTTTAGGGCACCCCACCTTCTATTGCCCCGGTAATTTGTGATTAGGGCACCCCACCTTCTAATCCCCTGTAATTTGTGATTATGACACCCCAGCTTCTATTGCCCAAGTAATTTGTGATTAGGGCACCCCACTTCTATTGCCCCGGTAATTTGTGATTTTACACCCCCACCTTCTATTGCCCCTGTAATTTGTGATTAGGACACCCCACCTTCTATTCCCCTGTAATTTGTGATTAGGACACCCCCACCTTCTATTGCCCCAGTAATTTGTGATTAGGACACCCCATCTTCTATTACCCAGTAATTGGTGATTAGGACACCCCCGCCTTCTATTGCCCCGTTAATTTGTGATTATAACACCCCCACCTTCTATTGCCCCTGTAATTTGTGATTAGGACACCCCACCTTCTATTCCCCAGTAATTTGTGATTAGGGCACCCCACCTTCTATTCCCCTGTAATTTGTGATTATGACACCCCATCTTCTATTGCCCAAGTAATTTGTGATTAGGGCACCCCACCTTCTATTGCCCCGTTAATTTGTGATTATAACACCCCCACCTTCTATTGCCCCAGTAATTTGTGTTTAGGACACCCCACCTTCTATTCCCCTGTAATTTGTGATTAGGACACCCCAACCTTCTATTGCCCCAGTAATTTGTGATAAGGACACCCCAACTTCTATTACCCAGTAATTGGTGATGAGGACACCCCCACCTTCTATTGCCCCAGTAATTTGTGATTATGACACCCCAGCTTCTTTTGCCCCAGTAATTTGTGATTAGGACACCCCACCTTCTATTGCCCCAGTAATGTGTGATTAGGACACCCCAGCTTCTATTGCCCCAGTAATTTGTGATTAGGACACCCAACCTTCTATTGCCCAAGTAATTTGTGATTAGGACACCCCCACCTTCTATTGCCCCGGTAATTTGTGATTAGGACACCCCCACCTTCTATTGCCCTAGTAATTTGTGATTAGGACACCCAAGCTTCTATTGCCCCAGTAATTTGTGATTAGGGCACCCCACCTTCTATTCCCCTGTAATTTGTGATTATGACATCCCCACCTTCTATTGCCCCAGTAATTTGTGATTATGACACCCCACCTTCTATTACCCAGTAATTTGTGATTATGACACCCCAGCTTCAATTGCCCAAGTAATTTGTGTTTAGGGCACCCCACCTCCTATTGCCCCATTAATTTGTGATTATGACACCCCCACCTTCTATTGCCCAAGTAATTTGTGATTAGGAAACCCCACCTTCTATTCCCCTGTAATTTGTGATTATGACACCCCAGCTTCTATTGCCCCAGTGATTTGTGATTAGGGCACCCCACCTTCTATTGCCCCGGTAATTTGTGATTATGACACCCCCACCTTCTATTGCCCCTGTAATTTGTGATTAGGACACCCCACCTTCTATTCCCCTGTAATTTGTGATTAGGACACCCCCACCTTCTATTGCCCCAGTAATTTTTGATTAGGACACCCCACCTTCTATTACCCAGTAATTGGTGATTATGACACCCCCAACTTCTATTACCCAGTAATTTGTGATTAGGACACCCCACCTTCTATTACCCAGTAATTGGTGATTATGACACCCCAGCTTCCATTGCCCCATTAATTTGTGATTATGACACCCCAGCTTCTATTGCCCCATTAATTTGTGATTATGACACCCCAGCTTCTATTGCCCCAATAATGTGTGATTATGACACCCCACCTTCTATTGCCCCAGTAATGTGTGATTAGGACACCCCAGCTTCTATTGCCCCATTAATTTGTGATTAGGACACCCAACCTTCTGTTGCCCCAGTAATTTGTGATTAGAACACCCCACGTTCCATTGCCCCAGTGATTTGTGATTAGGACACCCCACCTTCTATTGCCCAATCAATTTGTTATGAGGACACCCCACCTTCTATTGCCCCATTAATTTGTGATTAGGACACCCAACCTTCTGTTGCCCCAGTCATTTGTGATTAGGACACCCCACGTTCCATTGCCCCAGTGATTTGTGATTAGGACACTCAACCTTCTATTGCCCAATCAATTTGTTATGAGGACACCCCACCTTCTATTGCCCCAGTAATTTGTGATTAGGACACCCAACCTTCTTTTGCTCTATTAATTTGTGATTATGACACCCCACCCTCTATTGCCCCGGTAATTTGTGATTAGGACCCCACCTTCTATTGCCCCAGTAATTTGTGATTAGGACACCCCTCCTTCTATTGCCCTAGTAATTTGTGATTAGGACACCCCACCTTCTATTGCCCCAGTAATTTGTGATTATGACACCCCATCTTCTATTGCCCCAGTAATTTTTGATTAGGATACCCCACCTTCTATTGCCCCAGTAATTTGTGATTAGGACACCTCATCTTCTATTGCCTAAGTAATTTATGATTAGGACACCCCACCTTCTGTTGCCCCATTAATTTGTGATTAGGACACCCCACCTTCTGTTGGCATATTAATTTGTGATTATGACACCCCACCTTCTGTTGCCCCATTACTTTATGAATAGGACACCCCACCTTCTGTTGCCCCAGTAATTTGTGATTAGGACACCCCTCCATCTATTGCCCCAGTTATTTGTAATTAGGACACCCAACCTTCTGTTGGCATATTAATTTGTGATTAGGACACACCATTTTCTATTGTCCCAGTAATTTGTGATTAGGACACCCAACCTTCTGTTGCCCCAGTAATTTGTGATTAGGACACGCCATCTTCTATTGCCCCATTAATTTGTGATTAGGACACCCAACCTTCTGTTGCCCCATTAATTTGTGATTATGACACCCCTTCTTCTATTGCGCCGGTAATTTGTGATTAGGACCCCACATTCTGTTGCCCCAGTAATTGTGATTATGACACCCCTCCTTCTATTGCCCCAGTTATTTGTGATTAGGACACCCCCACCTTCTATTGCCCCAGTATCTTATGATTAGGACACCCCACCTTCTATTGCCCCAGTAATTTGTGATTAGGACACCCCACCTTCTATTGCCCAAGTAATTTGTGATTAGGACACCCCACCTTCTATTGCCCCAGTAATTTGTGATTAGGACAACCCACCTTCTTTTGCCCCAGTAATTAGTGATTAGGACACCCCATCTTCTATTGCCCCAGTAATTTGTGATTAGGACACTCCACCTTCTATTGCCCAATTAATTTGTGATTATGACACCCCACCTTCTATTTCCCCAGTAATTTGTGATTAGGACACCCCACCTTCTATTGCCCCAGTAATTTGTGATTAGAACACCCCACCTTCTATTACCCCAATAATTTGTGATTAGGACACCCCATCTTCTATTGCCCCAGTAATTTGCCATTGCAATTTTTTCATCTAGATCCTGTTCTCGAGGTTTTCACAGGTTTGTGTCTGTGCCAATAACTTTTAAGGCAGCTACCCTCTACTGCCCTCAATTTGGCTCTCAGCATTATTTCAGTCGATTGTTGTGTTTTTGTATGGATTAATATTTCTGAGCTTACTGGACCAAACAGAATTCTACAAGACTCTGGCTTCTGACTAGTTGCTGAAGTCACAGACTGTCAGTTGCATATGTGAATGTGAGGTCCCTGCCCTGCACACACAAGAGGGCCTGCACACATACACGTGCATCATGGTGATTTGGTTGTTGTAAGATGTGTGTGATAGGAGATCCTACACACCTGTTTTACAGTGCCCTATCTCAGTATGTCCAAAGTACAATCATAGTTTTATTCGGTAGTATATGAATATAGCATGTCACCAAATCCATACTGAAGTATGAAAGTTTGTCCTGTTATTATTAAAACTCTCTGGTTATGGAAGTATTCATAGTATATCTAGACTTATGTTTGTAATATATTTATAAATAGTATTCAAGATTTCATTCAATATTTTTTAGATTAATTTCGGTGAAATCATGTGTGAACTGATTGGCCTATCGAACAAATTTACAAACTATTATTTTCAGCAAATCGATGTTATGCTGTTGACACTGAATCTAGCCTTAGTGATATGAACCATATTTTACATATATCCATATGCCATACTTTGACTTGGGAAAAGTCATATTTATTGTTGTCTATTATTTGTCAACATAATGTGTTCATGGTCAAAGTAGCAAGCCCACAGGAAGCCTCACATGGTGAAATAATACATGAAAAATATACAACAATATACCAAATTCTATGGTTATGATTATTTCTATTTGAAATATATTTAGTGAAAGCTGTAAAAACAAGCTCTTAGAAAATTTCAAACCTGGTAAAATAATTGTTACAGATAGAATTTCTTTGGAACATTGCCTTTAAAATACTTTTCAGTAATGTTATTGGGTATTTTTTAACTGAATTGCTGGTAGATTTGGTTGAAAATGTTTATTCAGCTGTTTGCTATTTCCAGCTTATTTTACAAGACACATGGTAATGTTAATGTCTGCATATAAAAGAATGTCTAGCATACAGTAAATACAATTGAAATTGTAAATCATCATGTCCAGCAATGTTTTATCACAGAGTTTATGTTTTCATTGACGAAGTTTGTTATCTCCCATTCATTCACCAGAAGCAATTATGTATGGAATGTGATTATGAAATATGTTTTGCATGATCTGTCTTTTTAAATTCAATCCCAGGTAAGATTCCTATCATCGGTGTTGGCGGGATAAGCTCTGGTGTAGATGCCTATGAGAAGATCCGTGCTGGCGCGAGTCTGGTGCAGCTGTACACAGCCCTGGTCTACCAGGGGCCTCCTGTTGTCAGCCGCATCAAGAGGGAGCTCCAGGAACTCCTGCAGTAAGTATGCCCTCCTTACTGTCACTGGGAGACAAGGGCTTCATGCTCTTCTATTGCTGTCATGCTTCACTCAAATGATTAAGTGATGACCGATCTACGATAACTTTACTGTGTCACTTTCCCTTGTGGTTAGTGACATAGATGATAATCCAATACATATAGCAGTAATACTAATTTAATAAAATAACAGCCACCAAATGGAACACAAGAACAGTCATTTGTGTATGCAAGCATGTGCCATTTTTCATCTCAGCCAAAGTTCTGTAATGCTAGCTCTAGTACCAATTAATAATCTCTAGTACCTTCTTATGGGTAGAAATTACTCCTATTTGTAGTGTTCCCTATATCTATTCTCATAACTACAGAGTACTGTATGTGCTCGTAGATGTGTAAGTCACAGTGTGCTGTTGCAGGTCTGATGGCTACTCCAACATATCCCAGGCTGTGGGAGCTGACCACAGGGAAAAGTGAGTGACCACCCAGGCATGTACAATCATACACGTGACAGCTCCCATGAAGGAGAAGACACACTGTGGCAGCTTTGGTGAAGGTCTAGGAGTGGTGGCAAACTGACAAATGATGTGGCTGATGTATGTGTAACTCTACACATAGCTGGTTTATGTAGAAACGAGACAGCTGTAGTCTTTATCAAGTACCATTTTCAGAGGAGTGTTTTGCTGCCTTGTCATGTTTAAAGATACTCAGGAATGCCATGACTGATCACCTTGCCAACATTGGTTGGCATATCTACAACTGTGACCTTTGCTTTTGATAACTGTGTTTACATATGTCCGAAAATGTTAGAGCCAGAGGTGTAAATACACATAAACATAAAATTAGAATTAAAATCTCATCAAAACATTTTCAGACAGATGAAATGAGAAATGAGAAAGTGTCAGCCGTCTTACCCATGTACCACTCTATTTTATCTCTGTTGAAATATGGATTTTGATACTGTAGTTTTATCTGCAATGGGTTTGTGCCAAAAACTAACATAAACGAAGTGTTTAGATCTGCTCTGAAGTTGTCATATTGTCATTTCTTAGCCTAAGAAGGTATTTTCTGTAAGGAAGGTCACCTGAATACTGTTCTTGTCCTGTTTTGGCATGGAACATTTGGCATGGTCAAGGGACATCAGTGGAGACCTTTCCCTACCGTAACACAATCGTCAAGGGACATCAGTGGAAACCTTTCCCTACCCTCACACAATGGACAAGGGACATCAGTGGAGACCTTTCCCTACCCTAACATAATGGTCAAGGGACATCAGTGAAGACCTTTCCCTACCCTAACACAATGGTCAAGGGACATCAGTGGAGACCTTTCCCTACCCTCATTCAATGGACAAGGGACATCAGTGAAGACCTTTCCCTACCCTAACATAATGGTCAAGGGACATCAGTGGAAACCTTTCCCTACCCTCACACAATGGACAAGGGACATCAGTGGAGACCTTTCCCTACCCTAACATAATGGTCAAGGGACATCAGTGAAGACCTTTCCCTACCCTAACACAATGGTCAAGGGACATCAGCGGAGACCTTTCCCTACCCTAACATAATGGTCAAGGGACATCAGTGAAGACCTTTCCCTACCCTAACATAATGGTCAAGGGACATCAGTGAAGACCTTTCCCTACCCTAACACAATGGTCAAGGGACATCAGTGGAGACATTTCCCTACCCTAACATAATTGACACGGTTTGGGTTTTTGGTTTGGTTTGTTGTTTAATGCCGCACTCAGCAATATTCCAGCTATATTACGGCGGTCTGTAAATAATCGAGTCTGGACCAGACAATCCAGTGATTGACAACATGAGCATCGATCCACGCAATTGGGACCGATGACATGCATCAACCAAGTCACCGAGCCTGACCACCCGATCCCGTTAATAATGGACAAGGGACATCAGTTAAGACCTTTCCCTACCCTAACACAATGGTCAAGGGACATCAGTGAAGACCTTTCCCTACCCTAACATAATGGTCAAGGGACATCAGTGAAGACCTTTCCCTACCCTAACACAATGGTGAAGGGACATCAGTGAAGACCTTTCCCTACCCTAACACAATGGTCAAGGGACATCAGTGAAGACCTTTCCCTACCCTAACATAATGGTCAAGGGACATCAGTGGAGACCTTTCCCTACCCTAACATCATGGGCAAGGGACATCAGTGAAGACCTTTCCCTACCCGAACATAATGGTCAAGGGACATCAGTGGAGACCTTTCCCTACCCTAACACAATGGTCAAGGGACATCAGTGAAGACCTTTCCCTACCCTAACACAATGGTCAAGGGACATCAGTGAAGACCTTTCCCTACCCTAACACAATGGTCAAGGGACATCAGTGGAGACATTTCCCTACCCTCACAGAATGGACAAGGAACATCAGTGGGGACCTTTCCCTCAGAACATCCAAATTGTGTCCAATTGATGACATGTCTGGACATTTGACTGGCAAGGGCAATGTTTTAACACCTTGCCATCTCAGACAGTCGACTGCAACACAGAAGACGTGAGAAGACTTGTGTTGTCATCCCAGAACTCCCAAGTTCTGACCTACACACTGAGCAAATGGGATGACAAATGGACGTAAAATGATATCCACCTAACTCTGACCGGTCACATTCTCATGCATGATCATCAGATCCGTCCTGTTGTCGCATGTGATGCCAGCCCAGACCATGATGCTGCCGCCACCGTACCTGTGAGCTGTCGACTGCTGCATGATAGTACCTCTCTCCACACCATCTCCACACAGTTGTCCACCATCTGTACAGCGTAAACAGAACCTCGATTCATCAGAAAACATGGTGTATCTCCAATGATGGGGCGCATGTGTGCCACAGTCAGATGTATACCTCTGAAAGGATATCTTGATTTCAGAACCCAAGTTTTCAATTTGTTTCATATTGTTTACGTCAAAAGTCTGATCCCTGTGGCAAGCCTGATCTTGTCCCTCAGTTCTGGTGCAGAAATGAATGTGTTCCTATAATGCAATGGTGCATACATATCGATTGTTTGAGTAACTCATTGCAAGTGTAATTGGTCTGTTGAGGCCATTTGTATATTAGTGACAAACAGTTGAATGCGATAGGGGTCCAAATGGACAAATGGAAAAGAACGAATACTGAGCAGTTTTTGACTTAAGAGAAAAGTACTTCCCAAGAAATTCATGACAGCATGTCGCAAATGTATGGGGATAAGTATACCAGCTATTCCACTGTTAAAAGTTGGGCAGCTATGTTTAAGGTTGGGAGAACAAGCCTTGATGATGATGACCTTAGGTCTGGACATCGCTCAACTTCCATCAATAAGATTCAATAAAAGAGATAGGAAAACGTATACTGTCATATAGATGTATTACTATTGCTGAACATGAGGAAGACACAGGTCTAAACCAAGGATCCATTGAAACTATTAATTATGAACATTTACAGATGAATAAGATATCTGCTAGTTGGGTGCTAAAGTTTCTAAAATTCTGATCTTAATGAAACAAGAACTGACATTGCCAGAGAAAATTTTGAGCTAATTGAGGAGGATTTTCGTCAAATTCAAAAAAGAGATAATCATTAGTAACGGGTGATGAAACATGGGTCTACCACTATGAGCCAAAACATCAATCCATGGAATGCCACCATTCCACTTCTCAAGCACCAAAGAAATTCAAGTCTTCAAGGTCAGTGAAGAAAGTTATGGCCACTGTATTCTGGGATGCAAAGGGTGTGATCCTTGTTGATTACTTAGAAAGTCAAAAGACGATTAGCAGTGCCTACTATGCTGATTTGCTTCATCGCATGAGAGATTCTATCAAAGAAAAGTGGCGAGGAATGCTGACTGCTGGGGTTCTACTACTTCATGACGATTCTTCTTCTCACACCTCTCGACTTGCAAAGGCTGCTGTACGACAATGTAGGTTTGAAGAGCTTCCTCACCATCTATACTCACCAGACCTGGCACCAAGTGTTGTCCACATGTTGCCTAAACCGAATGAACACCTTCGTGGAAAACGCTATGACCACAACGATGACCTAAAAGCTGACTTGAATGGGGTTTTCAGGGTGGCTTCAGGAAACTCCTCCCTGAGTGGAATTGAAAAACTTCCCTATCGACATGAGAAGTGTACTGAAAAGCAGGGAGATTATGTTGAAACATAAAATTAAAAAGACTTTCACAATTCTTGGTTTTGTTTAATATATATATGCGTGTGGTAGGTCAATTAAGAATTGAAGCCCATTTCTTGTGTCCCCGCGGTGATATTGCTGGAATATTGCTAAGAGCGGCGTAAAACCATATTCACTCACCCTTAAAGGATGTAGACCTAGATCTATACACAATTATATTTAGGATGTGTGACTTCATGTTTACACTGACAGCCATATAACAACAAGCTGTATCGCAGAATAAAATAGTTCCTCAAAACGAGACGTGACATGAGCGTATGTATGCTTAACATGCTCTACAGGAACCATTTTTGTAGTTTCTATACAACAAATGTACTCAAATAATATCCTCATTAGATGAGAAAGGTCTGTTTCGAACCTCAGTAAGTCAGTCGCAATGACAGTGCACCGTAATACATTTACATCAAGTACAAGACGTCAAAATGGCCGACATGATAAACGTAACGGGGATATTTCCAAATGTTTTAATTACAAGTGTTAGTCATCACTTATCAGTGGCCGATCACTGTAAGGTGATTGTAGAGATGTGTCAAATAGATACTGAGGTCCATTCATATATTGCTGTAGTTTAGACACGGATCGAGTCGATACTACGGTAGTTTGGATGTGCTTTTCTTCGATTTTTTCTCTAGGATTGGTTGTAGCGAGGATATCCTTGAACAGATATGCAATCACTCTGACTTATCCCAAGGTATGCTAAAAGGCTAAGTTCAAGATCAAAGGGTCTAAATCATAAGAAACAACGCTTCTGTATTTAATCGTGATAGAAAATCCCCCGGGGTTCCCCCAGGAATGTGGAAGTAGTCCCTCAGTGTTTACGTCATTTCAAGAACATGGTCTCGTCAAAAACGTATGAACGTCAACATGTGTCATTCATACACTTACATCTTTTTTAATTTGAAGTTTACACGATATACGGCTTTTCCATTGGACGAGAGGTCGGTCACATGACCGCGGAATTGAACGTCAAATTGTGTCGTTCATACACTTATAAACGTCAATTTCGCGGTCATGTGACCGACCTCTCGTCCAATTCTCGTCCAATTTGTAAACTTCAAATTAAAAAATTATAAGTGTATGAACGACACAATTTGACATTCATAGGTTTTTCACGAGACCGTGTTCTTGAAATAACGTAAACACTGACGGACTACTTCCACATTCCTAGAGAAACCCCTGGGAATTCCCCAGCACGAAAACATACAGAAGCGTTCTTTCTGATTATTTAAGACCTTTATTCTTGGTCTCAGCGTTTCAGTATACATTGACAAATGTCAGAGAGCGTGACTGCATGATTGTTCACGAATATCCTCGCTACGGCCTATCCAAATGAACAAACGAAGAAATGCACATCTGAACTATTGTAGTATCGACTCGGTCCGTGTCTAGGCTGACACTGACCGTCTCCAGCAATCTATGAATTTACTTTAGTGTCTGTTTGACGCATTTTTATTCACCTTTCAATGATCGGCCAGTTGATCAATGATGACTAGCACATGTAACCATCACAGGTTCATTAACAACTTCGGAAATCTCTCCCGTCGCGTTTATCGTGTCGGCTATTTTGACGTCTTGTTCTTGATGTAAATGTATTACGACGCGCCGTCACTGTGATTGATTTACTGAGGTAGTTCTTTACAGACCTTTCTCATCTAATGAGGACTTGATTTGAACACATGTGCTGCGTAAGCTGTTTCTGAAGAGCAAGTTGTGCATCCATACGCTCATGTCACCTCTTTTTGAGGAACTATTTTACTCCGCGATATAGCTGGTTGTTGTACGGCTGTCAGTGTAAACATGAAGTCACACATACAAAATAAAATTGTG